CTTCTCCCAAAACTACATCTACACCTTCTTAGATAGTATCATAATATACGTAGCATACTCCTATAAAGTTATATACTAGCTATGCACTAAGTATAGAGGAAGGCTTTTATACTAGGAGGCCATCTATACCTACTACTAGATTAGAACCATACACCCATGCACCTAGCCATGAAGAGTAGTTACTAGGATTTAAGCGGCGCCAATAGTGACTAGAGGAAGAGGTAGAACTTAGGCGCCAATTACTAGTGGCTGTGGATAGGAATAAGGCCTAACTAATAAGTAGTGATGGATCTGGCCGAATCCGTGCCAGAATAGGTTTAACGTTAGGGTTCGAGCGCGCAGGATTAGGAATTTAGGGGGTAAAACTATATGGTAAATCCGCGTATATTCTAGCCCAAATCCATGAAATTATCTTATAGGAAAGGTGTTCATCTTACCTTTCCCTACGCCTCCATCGCTTTGCATCCCAAATCAGACATTATTAGGGTTATGTGGTAGGGTTAGGGTAAATAGACTTAGGGTTATCTATAGAACTCATCTAGGACGTATAGACTAGTAATATTAGAAATAACTAATAGCTGGCGCTGCAGCACCTATAACTAATTGCCAGTAAAGGTGCCTAGGAGACGGTAGTATGGTCTATTAAGAATATTAAGGAGTATCTCTAGTACTTATATAGGTATAGGGTCCTAATCTATAAGAGCTATAAGACTGGCGTATAGAATCTTAACGTCCATCTCTACCAACACTATACTATACTAATGAAGATCCACCTTATAATCGTTAAGCACTTTAAACACTTCTAGGTTAAAGATCTAAAGATGGTTAGTCTCCTATGGCCACTAGGAAAGCTAATTAAGGTGCTTAGAGAGCTAATAGATACGTTCTACTATAACGTAGAAGAATGCGACTTCATTATAATTAATATAGATGGACTAAGGAAGCACTATAAGAAGAAGTATAGGGAGTTATAGAAGGGTAATATAACTTAACTATATACTAAGGTTAGAGTATAGACCTTCTTTAAGACGCCTAGGCTATAGCGCTACTTTATTGTGAGTTATAGTGGCTAACTGAGTAGCCCGGCCACTATAGATTATAGAGATGAGATTAAGGCGCTACTTAGTAAATGGAGAGGAGACCTATAGCTACGTGAAGAGGAAGCGTAGGTTCTAGAGGTAGAGGTGGCGAAGACTAATAGGATGGGTTGGTTTAATTAGACTAGATGGCTAGAGTATCTAGGTGGGCGAAACTTAAAGCACCTAGCACACGTAGTAAGGCTCCCTAGCCTAGATAAACTAAAGCTGAAGTATGCTAGCGACCTGGTAGAGAAGGTACTAGAGAGGAGTATGGCTAGGCTATAGATACTACTATAAGAGATACGGCGTTGGCTAAAGAGCGTAAAGGCGTCTAAGGTTAATTAGTGACTATAGGGGTGGCTCTAGAATCCTAAATTATAGGCTTATTATACTAGTTATATAAAGCTATTTATATGCTACTTCCTACACACCCTATCTAGCATGGAAGTAGGAGAGAGTGATGATAGCGACGGTAATAGTATAGTTAGTAGTAGTAGTAAGAGTACTAATAGTAGTAGGAAGAGTAGTAGTAGGAAGAGTAATAGTAGGAAGGAGAGGTCTTAGGTGGACCTAATAAAGGATACGTAGGAGCTATTCCTATAGTAAGGTAACTAAAAGATTCTAGCTAGTAAATTCTAGGCTTCTCTAGATGGCTAAGATAAAAGTTACTAGATGGAAGCATTACTATATATACTAGTAGCGTTCATCTTCTATAAATATAATAGGTTTATCTTTACTAGTAGGCTTATCCACTTTATAGCCATACTAGGAATTAATGTGGATATAGGCCGCCTACGTCCTATAAAGCACTATTTATACCTACTAGCTAGGGTCGTGTACTGTATATGGGTCCTTAGGGTAGAAGTACTACTCCTAGTATCCTAGTATAATCGCTAGGCTAATAATAAGCTGGCCGCTTTCCTAATAAAGCGAAGGGAGTTTCTAGTAGATGGCTTATATAGTCCTATAAGTGAGATACTAAGCCTATTGGCGTTTAGTAAGCATATTACATTTAATGATAGAAATGCTAGTGTAGCCCTATGGTTGTAGAATAAAAAGATCTTATACTACTAGGGAAAACCTATTAGGATTAAACACTTCTAGTAGATGGTAAAGGACTTAATAAC